GCACCTCAGGCCAGCTTTCGCTCTTAAAATGGTGTCCCCCCAAGTGACACTGAAGCCTCAATACTGCTCTGAACTCGACTGTGCATGCAGAACGAAGTAACGTGGTCGACATTGATCCACAATGTCGAAACTTTGCACCAACAACTCAAAGAAAACTTTTAATTAATGGAGTGTGTATCGTTTTTAACATATGATCAAAATTAATCAGCCCTCGATTTGAGATATTAAAATCAAATTAATCATGTGAAAAAGCAAATGATGCTTGACGCGTCTCCAGCTGTGCCGAATCGTTGTTTTTTTTTCTCGCTCTTGCTCCTCTCTTCAGGAGGACATTAGTGCACACCACTTGAGTCAACTGTTACTGTCACTCCAAATAGTTCACATATGGTAGCTTTAATATATTGTGTTTGGAGGGTTTGATCAGTCTAGCGTTAGTATTAATAGATGTAAATTTGCTCTGCTTGAGTGACACTTAAGAGTGCACTCTTGAGAAAAAAAAAATTGTTGTTGTTGCTAAAAACAAAAAAAGGAGGGTGTAAAATATTCCTACTTTTCTGTCAAAGGTGATGTTTTCTTTGAAGCTTCCGAATGACTGTTTTCTCGGTGCATTTGTATCAACCCTTTATTGATTTAAAGTCTGCTGGTTTGACGCATTGTAGTTGCCACTTGCCTCAGCAGCAATGCAACTACTGTATGTTATGACAGTAACTTTTTCATAACAAAGTTGCTTTTCCATTAAGAAGCTATGGTTACTCTTTAGATTAGGTGTATTTAACTACTATGTACTTACATCAAAAATAAGTACAATGTACATATTGTGTTCATGTTGTATTAGATAACACTTTTGCTGCTATTGAGGTGTGATACAGGAAAGATTAGGGACATGTGTGCTGGTATGCGTAATTATAGGGGTAGGTTAAGGTGTAAGGGAAGGGTTATAACAGTGTAATTAGAAATGTAATTACAGAAATTAATTACAGCTGTAATTACATGCAGGTATTTTTTAAAATATAAGTACAATGTTAAAACATGTATGTACACAATAAGTGCACAAATGAAAATAGTGTCATCATTTACTCACCCTCAAGTTGTTTATGGACCCCGTTTGACATCAACTTGAGGAGTCCAAACTTCCTTTAAGGACACGTAATTTAAAGTGGAACCTAAGCAATTTTTGAACCATTATGATTTATTTTAATCATTTTCATTCAGATGCATTGCTTAATTTAAATGAAGATTCACTTCCTCAGATCATTCTCTGAAAGCATGTTGCATCTTCTGCCTTGTAGCTACGCACAAAATAAAAATGTGATCATATTTCAACATAATTTGACAGGTTAGTAACAGTTAAACGCTTCTGTTCGTAACTATTTTTGATTTTTAAAATTTAAAGCACATTATTGGATGTTAGATCTCCATGTTGGAAATATCAGATCTGATCATCTGACCATGCAGATCCTGTCAAAAGATAACCATTTTGTCTGCTGTCCAAAACCAGTCAACGGCAAATCTTGTCATAACTCTATTAACAGCCTGAGAGTTTTACTGAGAAACCCAAAGAAGAAAAGAAGTAGGAGACAAGTGATGATATTTAAAAGATCAGAGTTTATTGAAGAATATTAATTGCAATCCTCAGACTTTGATTGTGTTATTAGGGCCCAAGCCCTGAAAGGGCGAAGGCCCTATTGTTTTCCTTGGGATTATTAGGGCCCAAGCCCTGAAAGGGCGAAGGCCCTATTGTTTTCCTTAGGATTATTATTATTATTATTATTATTATTATTTATACGACTATTCGGGCACTTTTGGGGCCCTTAACATGCTCAAAAACTCTTGAAACTTTGCACACGGGTCAGAACCCGCGGCCATCAGGGCCGGGCTGAAGATGGTACCCGGGCGTGGCAGGGGGGCTAGACAGCGCCCCCTGGAACGGGGTCCGAACACTTGGTCCATAAATCAAACACGCTTGCATGTAATAATATGAAACTCGGTACACATGTTGATCTCATCGTTTCATCTATACCTCGTGCTTTTACTTTTTACCCCAGCCCAACAGGAAGTCGGCTATTTAGGGTTGTTCGTAAAACACTCGCAATGGAATTTTTAATACTCCTCCTAGAGCTTTGATCCAAATTCGACGAAACTCGGTCAGCGTGAAGTCAAGACATTGAGGATGAAAGTTTGCGAGGGGATTTTTGATATCTCGAACGGTTTGGCCGTGGCAAGGAAACAAAATTATGGCGAGAAACGTGAAACAGGAAGTGTATCATAACTTCAGCACACATCAACCGATCTTGATGAAACTGCAGCAGTGTGTTCGCTGTAAGAGGACGATCACATGGATGTGACTATTGTGAGTCAAAGTTATAGCGCCACCAACTGGCAGCAGGAAGTGTGTCATTTTCAAAATGCTTTGAAATCACCCTCTAATTTTAACTCGATTTGCTTCAAACTTCATCTGTATAATGCAAATACATAGCAGATGAAGACCTGTGAATGGATTCTTGATATCTTTGATACTGTTGCCGTGGCAACGCATCAAACTTTAAAATTCTTTTTTTTGATGATTTTGAGACTCTTAGCGGCTTTTGGGGCCCTTAACGGGTTTGAAAACTCTTGAAACTTTGCACACAGGTCAGATCCCACAGCCATCAGAGCCGGGCTGAAGATGGTACCTGGGTGTGGCAGGGGGGCTAGACAGCGCCCCCTGGAACGGGGTCCAAACACTTGGTCCATAAATCAAACACGCTTGAATGTAATAATATGAAACTCGGTACACATGTTGATCTCATCGTTTCATCTATACCTCACACTCTTACTTTTTACCCCAGCCCAACAGGAAGTCGGCTATTGAGGTTTGTTTGTAAAACGCTCGCAATGGAATGTGCAATACTCCTCCTAGAGAATTCAAACACACGGCACGAAACTCGGTCAGCATGAAGTCAAGGCATTGAGGATGAAAGTTTGCGAGGGGATTTTTGATATCTCGAACGGTTTGGCCGTGGCGAGGAAATGAAATTATGGCGAGAAACGTGAAACAGGAAGTGTGTTATAACTTCAGCATACATTAACTGATCTTGATGAAACTTCAGCAGTGTGTTCGCTGTAAGAGGACGATCACATGGATGTGACTATTGTGAGTCAAAGTTTATAGCGCCACCAACTGGCAGCAGGAAGTGTGTCAGTTTCAAAATGCTTTGAAATCACCCTTTAATTTTTTACCCGATTTGCTTTAAACTTAATCTGTATAATGTAAATATACGGCAGATGTAGACCTGTGAATGGATTCTTGATATCTTTTAAACTGTTGCCGTGGCAACGCATCAAACTTTACCATTCTTTTAGGATGCTTTTGAGAGACCCTTAGCATGCTTTAAAATCGCATGAAACTCGACAGACACATCACATTTATTAGCCAGTAGACATGTGCAAAGTTTCAGAAACGGGCGTGGTGAGGGCTCAGTAGCGCCACCTTTTGACAAAGTGGGGGTTGTTGGTTTTAACTAGAGTTACAAAAATCTGTATGTATATTGTACTCCTCGAGCCGGACAACTTTCTAATTGACACTCATTAGCTAGGACCCACAGAAAAGTCAGATATCTTTGTTTGAATGTAGAGAAAATCTGGAATTTTGCCAGTCTCTCAGTGTCTCTCTGTGTGAGTGAGAGGAGGGGCGCCTGTCAGGTTATTTTAACCCTTTATTTGCTGTGTGCGACTTCTCTGGCATTTTCGGGGACCTTAACATCCTCTAAACTCTTGAAACTTTGCACACGGGTCAGAACCCATGGCCATCAGGGCCGGGCTGAAGCTTGGTCATCGGGCGTGCAGGGCGGCTCGACAGCGCCCCCTGGGACTGGGATTCGAACATTTGTCCATAAATCAAACACACTTGCGTGAATTAATATGAAACTCGGTACAATTATAGATCACATCAGGCCAAACAACTTTCGTGTGCTCTAAGTTTTACGACATGAAAAATGGAAGTGAGAATTATGGGTTGTTTGAATAGTTGTCCTAGAGAGAAAATACATCAAATTACAACGCATGTGTTTACCAATCACAACCAAACTCGGTGTGCAAGAAGTCAAGACATTGAGGATGAAAGTTTGTGAGGGGATTTTTGATATCTCAAACGGTTTGGCCGTGGTGAGGAAACGAAATTACGGCGAGAAACGTGAAACAGGAAGTGTGTTATAACTTCAGCATACATTAACATATCTTGATGAAACTTCATCAGTGTGTTCACTGTAAGAGGGCGATCACATGGATGTGACTATTTCGAGTCAAAGTTATAGCGCCACCAACTGGCAGCAGGAAGTGTT